TCTTATGATTTCAATTTTCCCTCTGTGACACTTCAGTTTTTATGAAGTATCAAGTATTCAGCTCCATTCTCCTTGTCCCTTCAAGCTTTGGTTAACTATATGACACAGTCCAGCCAATGAGACACGAGCAGAAGTCTGCTAGGAAATTCATAGAAAAAAATTTGTTTTCTTGATTCAGACTCTTCTCTCTTTATCCTTTCTCCTGATACAGATATAAATGTGATGGCTGGACTTGAAGCAGCCTTCTTGCAATCATGAGTAAAAGGCCAAGAGATTCACACAGACTTTTATAGTAACATCATTAAATTGTATAAATAACACCATCAACTGCCTTCTCCAAAGTTGTTCTTATGTGAGAAAAATAAACTCATATCTGAGCCCCCATAGGAAAACTGGAGCTTTCTTCCTTATTTTGTTGACCACTCTGGAATCTCTTCCTCGGCTCACCAACTTAGCTCCTGTCTCTGATGAGCGTTCTGCTCATCACGTGTCCTTGCTGCCAGAGGCACCTGGTGCTCCAGGCTGAGCTGGCGCATCCCTTCTGCCTGCCTCCCACTGAAAACTGGACAGTGTCCTTAGGACCCATCTCCTTAGGGCCTAGTCCTGGATGACTGACATAGTTTCCTGCTCTATCTAGTCTCCCTTTCAGCTTCTTCCAATTCCATTTTATAGTGGACACTACCACCAAATAGATTTTCATAAAGAACATTGGTAATAACATCAGATAGTTTGGTGGTAATGAACATCAAATGATGTATTCAAAAATTCTTAAGGGCTCCCTATTGCCTACCACAGCAGATATTCAAAATGCTCCATAATATAATTTCAATCAATGAATTTCAACCTTATATAATTTTTAAAAATATTTCACCTGTTTTCTTGACAAATGAAATATATTTTGAGGATAATATTTAAATTTTTTAATTGACAAATAAAAGTTATATATGCTTATTGTGTACACAATGTGTGTTAAAATATTTATACATTGTAGAATGGCTAAATCAAGCTAATTAACATATATGTTAGCTCATATACTTACCTTTGTTGCAGTGAGAACACTTGAAAGTCTACTACTTAGCAATTTTCAGGAATATGATATACTATTTTTAACTATAGTCATGTTTGCAATAGTCATCATAACTATAGTCATCATAGTTATCAATAGTTATCAATAGTCATCATAGTTATCAATAGTCATGATAACTATAGTCAACATGTGTGTAACCTCTTGAACTTATTCCTATCTAACCGAAATTCTGTATCTTTTGACTGACATCTCCCCAACCACCACCCCTGACCATGACACCCCACCCAGCCCTTGGTAACTACCATTCTACTCTACTTCTATGCATTCAAAATTTTTAAACTTCCACCTGTAAATGAGATCATGTAGTTATTTGTCTTTCTGTACCTGGCTTATTTCACTTAACATAATGTCCTTCAGGTTCACCTATGTTGTTGAAAATACCAAGATTCCCTTCTATTTTAAGGCTAAATAGTATTCCATTATATATACACACTATTATTTTCTTTATGCACAAATGGAACATTATTGTTCCTTAAACAAATCCTGTCATTTTCTCCTTATATAGTATTGTTTATACTATTTCCTTTTCCTGGGATGTGTACTGCCATGCTCTTTTCCTTATCTTCTATGGATTACTCATTCATTATGTCCCGGCTTAAGTGTCACCTCTCCTACAGTCTCCAAGAATTATTTAAAGTAGAAGAATCTTCACTTTGCTAGCATCTCTCAGTATAGCTATTCAATGCATATAACATACCAACCACATAGTATTTTTAGCTGCCCATGAGATTATAAGTTCCATGAGGGCAGTCATGATATAATAATATTTTATTCATACATTCAACAAATATTTCTCAAATCCTTACTATTCCATGGGGAGGTGACATGAGCAAGATAGAGCAGGCTCTTGCTCTCAGAGAATTTAGGTTCTAAGGAGAAAGGGTAGCATGTTTTACAGAAAACAAGCAAGTAAATAAACAAAATAGGATAATCTCAGAATTAGATTAAGCAATTAAGGAAGTTCTCCCTGAAGAAGTGATATTTGAGATGAAAGCTCAGTGATAAGACCCAATCACAAGAAGACCAGAAGAGAGCGAATGGAAAGTCGCTGAGTTGGGTGCGAGCGCGGTGTGTCTGGAGACCACATGGAGGGCAGTGTGGCCAGAGCCAAGTGGTGGAGAGGAAGACTAGCGTAAGAGGAGCTTGTAGGGACAGGCAAGGGCCACACCTTGAAGGCACATGGAGGCCAAGCACAGTGGTTTCGATTTCATTCTAAGGTTTTAAACAATGATCTAATTTACAACGTAAAATGATCTCTCTGGCTGCTGTGTAGCAAATGGATTCTACAGGGTCAAGAGTGGAAGTAAGAAGCCTGATCGGAAGATCACAGCAGTCATCAAGGACATGAGCTGATAGCAGGTTGAATTTCCGGTGGTAGGAGGAGAGAGAAAGAGATAAGGGGACACGTTCATTATGTCTATAATATTAAGCTTTGTATCCTGAACACAGTAGGCGCTCCCCATGTATTGCTAAATACATGTGCAAGTACTTCAAAATAGTTTCACATTCTTAGTTTCTATACTATCTTCAAGTTTTTTCTGCTTTGAGTCATATACTATGGCTTAACATATTCCAGTTTGACATTTAGAGAGCCAAAGAGAAAAAAAAGATCTCATATTAAGGAAATGGTATAGGTCTTGTAATGGAAAGTAACCTAACAAGGAACTGAAACAATGGAGTTTGGAGTTAAGTTGTTAATTGTGGGAAGAAATAAATCCTTTGAAACAAATAGTATGATAAAGAGTGGAATCTGCAATCTATGTTAGGATGAAAATAGGGTATTTAAATACAAAAATCTCCATTTTAAAAAAGAGAGTCTCCAGTCAGGATCAGCTAGAATAGTGTTCCTAAACAGAGGATGGGAGCAAAATTCACTTTCATTAAAGTTTAAAACTTTTCCAGTTCTTACTTTTGATTTTTTTGAAACATAAAACTGATTCAAAATTCAATTTACTATCTTGATGTGATAAATTCCTAATAAGTAGCTAATGCCATCTTACTAAGACAGCATGTTTATAAAATTCTAAGGGCACTGAATGTGACCTGCTTTGTTTCTGCATTAGGAATCTGAGAAAAGACAGGTAACACCGGGAGTTCCACTTCTCGTTCACATGTACTGTCCAGGATATTTAACTCATACCCACAATGATGAAGATTCCTGCATTATGAATATAATCCAAATTCCCTCAACACACAGCAAAATCCAGAGGAAAATGAGATCAATTTTTGCCACTTTCCTTCTGAAATGCTAAATGGCCCCTGAATTGTGTGAAACTTGGCCCCAGTCAGTGTGAAAACTGGCTGAAATCTGTATGAAAGGCAGTCTGGGTTTGTCAAAGTAGTTCATGAACTTTGGCCAAACTTTCAAGGAACCTGGTCCAAGTCTTCGTTTGTAATGCAACACGAAACCAGGTGAATTCCAGATGGTTTCAGGTTTCATCCTGAAAATTTGGCCTAGCTTTATAATCAATCATCACTCTTTGTAACGATGAAAGCCAAAACACCTTTTTGAAAATGAGGACTGTGTGCATACCGATGACAGCTAAGCTGTGAACCACCCTTTCGCTTCCTTTGCCAAAAGAAGATTTCTCAGAATGGAAACAGTTCCCCTCTTACCTAGAAAGGGCAAGTTGAGTGATTTTGATACTGTGTGTGGAAAGAAATGGGACTCAGTTTGTGGAGACATGTCGTGAAACAGTCACCACCTATGGAGCAAGTGGCTATATCCTAATCATTGAAGATTAAGAGAGTTTTATTCCATTCACATTCATGACAGTAGATAACATGATGTTTAATCTCCTTGACCATAAAGATGAGCTTTTAACTAACTGCCATGAGAAACAAAATGCTCTGAGACATGATCATTCTTTCTGCATGAAGAAGTGGCTGAAGAATAGAAGGGAAAGTAAATCACAGCATAACTCTTACCTGGTTTAAGAAACATGAGGAGATAATTAGACTTCAAACCTTTCAAGTTTGCATCAACTGCATCTTTTATGAAAAAATCTCTATGCAATATAAATGAATTGAATAATTAACTAAGCATAGTGTGTTTTACAGAAAGAACTACATAGTTTCTGTTTTCAAACTGAAAGTTTTAAATGTGCTTTTCCACTGTAAAAAATTACTCTCTTCAACCAAATACTTGCTTTTGTGCATAGTGACATGAGAAAATTGAGAGGTATGTCTGAGCGGAGCCACTACATCATTGAAACAGTATGTCTGAACATTTGGGTAATAAGGCACAGATGTGAAGTAGAGGACTTGGCACTACCAAGGTAACGAAGCATTCACCATTGTGTCATAATGGTTAAAAAGGCCACATTTGAGAAGCTTAAAAGAATGCTGCATCCATTCTGCAATGCTAACTTGTATTATACCTTTTATCTGCTTAAAAATCTATAATAAACAAGAAATGTAAACATGTATTATTCAAAATTATGATGAAGAATAAATATGTGAAATGCATTAATATTTTTATCTATAATAAAACATATTTATGCAATAGCACGTAAAGTTTAACTGTAGCAAAAAGGCCAAATTCAATTGAAATCCATATGGCCTCTATGTTGCAAAACAATGCATGCAAATCTGAAGGACCCACTAGTCATTGGAAAGGTGGCTATTGTTGACTTTAAGAAGGGATTCCAGCCATTAATTCGTAGGTCTAATTATTGTAGAATATCCTAGTTATAGGCATCAGGTAAAGATAAAATATAAACATTAATTATATGCAACAAAATATAAACATTAATTATTATTAAGGCTTTTTCACTTACAAGTGGTATACTATTTTGCCAGCTATTACTAAACCATGTGGCACAATGGCAGTTATGAAGCTGGGGTACTTAAATTCAATAAATTTGGAGCTGGCAACTAATTTGCTGCCCAGGAGAGGCAGAGCACAACTTACCCGAGGTCCCTGATCACCTTGTTCTCCCTGTAGAATAAGATGAGATGATAGTTTTAGCCAAAATCTATACATGATGCTCATTAAAAACTCAAAATATAATACTGTTTAGGTGATGCCAATATGGATTTCTATGAACTTAATTTGTTTCTGCTATGCATTTTCTTACCTTATCACCTTTTGGACCAGGAGGGCCCTGAAAAAAAGAAAGAGAAAGGGAAAAAAATCAGTTAAAAAAATATATATTCTAGCTTGAATAGATCAGCCAGGTCAGTCGAAAGATTTACTCAAAGTACACAGAGACATAGCTGTCAATGAGGTTTCTCAAGGAATTTTGGTTTCTAAAGTATAATTGTAATTTGATTAGAATGTAAAAATAGTAGTACACATGTGTGTATGTATATATACATATAAACACTATGTCATAAGTATATAATATGCTGAACACGTTTTCACAAACTGAACACACCTATGCAAGTAGAACCCGGCTAAAGAAACAGAACAGGACCAGCAAGTGAGAAACTCCTGTAGTGACATTTCCCTGTCACCACCCTCTACCAATAGTAACCACTATTCTGACCTATGACAACATAGATTAATTTGCCTGTTTTTGTACTTTATATAAATAGAATCATATACACTATGTGTCTAGCCTCTTTTGCCCAATAGGTGTGAAATTCATCTATATTTTTTTAAGAGAGATGCTAATTTTATTTTTACTTTTTTAATTGGAGAGCTGTGCCTGCTCCTCAATGCAATGTTGCAGCGCAGAATCCAAGCAGCTACCTGTTCAGTCTGGGGGTCTGCACTGGTGGTGGGGCCCCCTCACGGCTCTGGCCGCAGTGCCTGTGGGGCAGCGTGGAGCCCCAGGGTTCTCCCCTCATGTCCCTCCCCATGTGCGGATGCCTCCCCCAGGTCCCTTCCATCTTGCTGAGTGGTTCACTCCATCCCCTCTCCTTCACTCTGAATGTCCCTGTTGTTTCTCCAGTGGGTCACAATGCTCTTTCATGAAGGTCTACTCAAAGGTGGGCATACACCTGCAACTTGCAATCCTCTCCCTCTGAAATTCATCCATAATTTTGAGCATAGTTGTAGATTGTTCCTACTGCTTTATAACATTCCACTGAGTGTATATACTGTAATTTATCCATTCATCCTACTGTAGATGGCCATTTGTTTCCAGGAGTTTCTAGGTCCTGGCTATTACAACTCGTATTTCTATGAACACAGTAGTAACAGGTATCTTTTGGTGAAAAATTATATGCATTTCTGTTGGGTGTATATAGAGGAATGGAAATGTTAGGTTATAGAACATATATATGTTCAATTTTAATAGATACTGCCAAGTAGTTTTCCATTGTGGTTCTTCCAATTTACACCTCCACCAGGAATGTACAAAGTTTCAGTTCAGTTGTCCTGTGCATTCACCAGTACTTGATATTTTCCATCTTTTTCATTTTAGGCCTTCTGGTGAGGATGTAGTAACTTCACATCATGTTTTAATATGTATTTCCCCAGTGATCAATAAGTTGAATCCCTTTTAATACATTTATTGGCCATTTTGCATCCTTTTTCATAAAGTATTCACATCTTTTGCCTTTGGTCTATTGAACTGTCTTATTGATTTACTAAAGTTCTTTATATGTTGTGTATTATATATTATGTATGTACATGTATGGGTAGATGATAGAGCTATAGATTAGAGATCTTTACATATTTTGAATATGAGTCTTTTGCCAGACAATTTATTGCAAATATATTTTCCCATTTTGTGTACTATCTTTATGTTCTCTTATAAGTGGTTTATGATGAACGCCTCTAAATTCTTAATTTTAATAAAACTCAATTTAACATTTTTTCTCCTTATAGTTATTCCTTTTTGTGTCCCACTTAAAAATCTTTGCCTACTCCAATGTTTGATGAGTTTTTTCTGTTTATTTTAAATGCTGAAAGTATTATTATTTTATCTCTCATATTTAAATTTGAATTCATTAAGAATTGATTTTGTGTATAACATGAGGTAAAAGTCAAGATGCTTTTTTAAAATGTGGATATAAAATTAACCAAATATCATTTACTAACAATGGGCCTTTTCTCCTTTGTAGCACAGTATTGCCTTTGTCGTAAATCAGGGCTCTTTATAGAAATTTCTATTTTGTTGGGCACCTGTCTATTCTTGAGCCACATTGAGATTTTCTTTATCTTTGAACAAAACTATGAGCAGGAAACACTAATTCTCTCTTTTATTTAAAAACTTTTTTTGAATGCTCAGGGTACAGCAGGGAAACGTTAATTCTGGGGGCATCAATTATGTTGTCTTTTCTAGCTCTTAGAGACAAAGTCATGTTTTGGGTTCAGCCCACCTCAGGAACTGAAGCATTTCAGGGTTGCCTTCAATTCCCATCTCCACTTTTAGCAGGGTTGGGAAACAAGGACAGGTCTAGAAGGAAGGAAAGCCAAGGTTCTAGCGAAGTGGCCCATCTAGGGCTCAGTGGAGACTGTGTCCCTACAGGTGGGAACGCAGCAGCGCTCCACTTTCACAGCTCCTCCTGCTAGGTAAGTGCTCGCCACAGAGAAACTACCACAGTCCCACTCTCGCTTGCAGCGCTTCCAGTAACAGCTGTGAGGTTATCATGAGATTAATAACAACAACATAATGTCTTACATTTTTTACACTTTACCATTGACAAGGACCATTCACCTGTTACTGAATTTAATGTTATCCACAATCCAGTGAGGAGAGTATTTTGATAACCCTGTTAAAGATGCCAAAATGAAACTCGAAGATTATCAATGTTAGGCTTCTTGTGAGGTAGCCAAGACTTTAACCCAGTCTGTGTGAATTTAAATGCAGTGGTTTTGATGCTAAGTGTTGGAACACAGCTCCAGAACTCGATTCTCGGCAAGAATGATGCCTATGTGTCTGACACCTGCCTTCCACAAGCGTCTTCTCAGATGCCTCCCTCACGTTCCCAGTGTCACAGACACCGTGCAGGTCTCAGGTTCAATAGGAGAGAAAGGAGAATTGAAGAGGAGTAGGGAGTGTGAGAGGGGCTAAGATAATGGAATCAACTTTACAAGACCCTTTTCTCTCTTACCCAAAAAATGACATTGCCATTAAAAAGAGGAACAATAAGAGCATTATTTTTCTTACTGTTTTCAGTAAACCTTTAATGTTTCTAATTTTTTTTTAGTGACTCAAGTAGTGATTAGTGAGTACAGTCTATATGATATCTCTGGTAAATTAAGTTTAATAAATTTATTTAGTTATTTTAACACATGCAAAATGCTTACTAATGCTATACAAGTAGGATTTTATTTTTGGTGGGGAAAATGAAAGCCAAAGAAAAGAATAATCAGAGGATACCTATCATTAAGTTTAAGAAATACAATGGAGGTTCTAGTCTTGATTTAAGTAGCATGTTACTTAATTTTATTTTGGTTTGTGTTGAATGCCAATAAAGAGCTGGGCAATGTTCTGAGCACTGGTGGAGGACATGGTGAAAGAGGCTGATTTAGAAAGACATAGTGTCTGTCCTGGGAAAGCTAAATAGTCTAGTGCCAAAGTCAAGCACTTTCCACATACCAGCATTAAGAAAAAAGTGACCTCAAGAAGATCCAGCTACTTTGAGGTCAGCCATGACTGTAGACCCCTCCCCAGCCTCTGCTCCTACCCCTTCCCAAGCTTCTCCTCTTTAAAGTTTTCTTTGCTTTTACTGGTGAGATTTGAGAGGCCAAGTCTCTCATTGTACCAATCCTCTAAAGGCACTTTGTTAGGTTACATGGCATCTTTGGGGACAAAGTTTTTCTGAAATTATTTTACAGTGAGGAACAGCGATGACTTTTCCCCTCAAAGTCCAATTATTAACACCAAAGCCATATGTGTCAACTAGAGCTCTTTAGCCAGCTTGCCCTGAGCAAGGATGCTTAATTCATGAACACATGAAAATGTGCATTCACAATGGAGCAATAAATATTGCTTCTTCAAAAGAGGCTGTTTCTGAGCAGACAGCATGGCGTCCCGGCACCTGCCGGCTTAAGACAGGAGTGACGCAAGGTCAACCTTCACTCACAGCTGCGGTGGCTGCTCAGGACACTCCGGCCCCCACTTGTGCACCCGGGATTAACAGCAGGTGTTTTCTTCTCCTGTGACTGAAATCCCACTCTTCTTTCTGAATCAGATCCTCTTCACTGAAAATATGGGTTGAACTTGAAGAATAAAGTGGGCTACCTTAGTAAACATAGATAGTATTTAAAAATTTGAGAGCCATGGCTCTCTTCTAAGTCAAAACATTATAAATGAAAGAAAGGTTCATTTGATTATTAATCTTTAAAATTAAAGTTATTTTTTTGTCTTTAGAGTTTAAAAAAAACTCACTAGTTTTAACTAAGAATGTGAGCCATACAAGTTAATGACTCCATAAATAACAGAGTATTTGACAATGGCACTTTGTTGCTTCAACACATAAGCTTAACAACCTAATATTTAGCAGACATGGTTGTTGTTCAGGTAACAGTTTCAATGCATAGTTGGTAGCTATTTGAAGATAAAACTTTGTTGCTAGAACAAAGTTGGAGTCAATGGAAAGGAAATATGGTGAAATTAAGTCAGAGATAAATGGTGGGTCATAGCTTTATATAAGGCTCTTTTTGAGATTCCTGCCCTGGTTTGGTCTAGAATGTTGGAGTCAAATCTTCTTCTATAAGGCCCACTTTAATAACTAAATAAGAATATTATAAATGATCCTTTTAATTAGTTTTATGTAATAAGCCTTATTTACATAAGTACTAAAAATGCTAATAAGTTTTTATTTATTAGTGTTGTCACTCGGTTGTTAGAATATTTAGAGCATTGTTAAGATGTTATTAACTTACTACTAAAGTATTTATAATTGTCAATGGCAAACTTCAAATTAGCCCCTGTTCAAAAGACTTTAAATTCAGCATTTGCAGTAACCACCTTTCTGTTTGTACCAAGCCTTTAATATTGGTCTTGCCCTATAGCAATTTTAGTCTTCCAAAATCTATTTCTGCCCAAATAATTGAGGTTTTAGCTTTTTTTCCATGCTCTATTGCCTATTTCAATTAAATGATAAAACCAAACTAAAAGCAAAGAGAGATACAATGAATGACATTCTGGAAAATACTGGATTTCATTCTACATAAAAGTAATTGAAATATAGCTGGAAAAGAGAG